TCCTGCTGTAATTTGAAGTGCTCTATAACTTAAAAGACAATGAAGAGGCTTCTTTCCCACTGAGAAAATGCCTGTGTGGAATAAGTTTCCCAATTGAGTGGGCTGGTGCTCTGCTTTCTTCATGTAACCTGCTCAAATAAATTACATTAATTTTGACTAAATTCTAGGTAGCCCTCCATTCACCGTTTTTTCAATATGATTCTTTAAGCTGTATTAGATAGCTGGGCATTAGGCCCATTATTAATTTTAGTAACATGGATAGTTAAAAGAAATTGTGATCTATTTTTGGGTGTAGAACAGTTGCTTCAAATGTAATTCACCATGAAATACAAATTTTAAATTTCAGTCTTGGGGGAGGTGGGTAACATTTATATGAACTGCACTGAGTGTACAGGAGCTAGCAGCAGCACCTTAACTCTTAGGTGCCATGGTAAGGGGTTCTTTGCATCTGAATAAGACATTGTGTTGGGGACGGGGAAAGGGCTAAATTGAAAGAATTGCATAGACCTAGTGGCTCAAACCTTATAGGCTTTGGGATCAATCTCCAATTATTTTAATGGCTGCAGTAAATGTAGCCTTGTTTAGGGGATTAGGACCTACATGTGCCATTGTGCACATGATTTTGAAAGTCTGATCTCCCTGAAACCAATGGATATCAGTTTGCATGGCTGAGGCCCAGACCTGTCCTGAATGTGTGTATTTGAATATTTACTGCCATATTTACCATTTCATTTTATGCCAGCTTTCAGCATGTTACACCAATGTTACTAATTCACTGCAATGGTGAATCACACCCCACATCTTGAACTCTAGGGGTTATATTGGAAATCATTTCATTACAGTGGCACTAGAATTGTTAAATACATTAATTTTATACATAGGGATCTTTGCATATACAGTTGCTCATTGCTTTGGTGTTACATTTCCTTTAGTTTGAAAGGTTGATATTGTTTTTCATCAGATCTGTATCGAGGGGAATATTGCAAGTGGGAAAACAACATGCCTGGATTACTTTGCAAAAACTACCAGCATTGAGGTACTGGATTTTTTTACTGCTCAATCAAGTCCTTGTCTTGCAATTTATAGCATTGACAGTATTCATTAGGGCTGTGCAAAGCTTTGGTAGCTGATTTGATTCGGAGGAGATTTGGCCCGATTCAGGGACCAAATCTATAAATCGAATCAGGAGACCAATTAAAAGCTCCGAATCGATTTGAAGCATGCAAATTGATACAGAAAAGCTTTGGAAAAGATTTAGCTGCTTCAGAGATCTGGCCATAGACTAAACAGGCAGCTGACAAGTCTGTTGAGGCTGGGGGAGGGAGAGAAGGAAGGCACATGGGGAGGGTTCGGGGCTGGGGCTGGGACTGGGACAAGTTGCCCAGCCGGGGGGTGGTGTGTGGGATGCGGATGCAGCTTGCTCTAGGCTGAAGAGGGCAGAGCCCCCCACTCCTAATGCTGATGTGGGCACGGTAGTGCTGGGAGCGGACACTATGCCCTGCTGCTGCCCAAAGCGAGTTGTGCCTACATTGTGCCTCCTGTGCCAGCTGGACAAGCAGCAGCAGGGCATAGCACCCACCAGGGCAGAGGCAGGCACAGTCAGAGGAGCTGTGGGAGAAGCCCTCATGGCTGCCTGAGCCTTCCCCATCCCCCGCCTGGCCCAGACCTCCCGGCACTTAAAATCCCCTCACTCACCGACTCTGGCAGCGGGGATTAGGGCCTCTGAGGGCTCATGGCACAGCCCCCCCTGCGCAGTGCGGGGCAGTGGGGATTGACCCCCCTGCTTGGCACCCACGTGGCAGCTGGCCCATGGTGCAGTGCAGCTCAGCAGGGTGCTGCATGCTATGTGGGAGCTGGGACAGCTCTACCTGTCAGCCGGAGCCTGGCACCACTCAGCCCCAGTGGCCCCAGCTCCCAGGCAGCACACAGCGCCCTGCT